TGTGTATATATATATATATATATATATATATATATGTGTGTGTTTTCTTTTTCTATTTAGCGTCATTGTCACATGATCCTCCAGAAATCATTCTAATATGCTGATTTAGTTCTCAAGAATCTTCATATCAAATTTGAAAATGGTTGTGCTGCTTAATATTTTTGTGCAAACCATGATAATTATTTTTCAGGATTCTTTGATGAATATGGTGTTTAAAAGAACAGCATTTATTTAAAATAGAATTTTTGTAAAATAATAAATGTCTTTACTGTCACTTTTGATAAATTGAATGCACCCTTGCTGAATAAATTTGTTGATTTTATTTTATTTTTTTAAGTCTTTCTGACCACAAACTAATGTAATAAACTGTATATGTGCATATAGCTATAATAATATAAAATGAATTGTGTATATAAAAATGCATTACTTGTTTTTTTCAAAGCAAACATTCTTGGTTTTCCTAGGGTGGCACCTTCACTATTTCCAATCTGGGCATGTATGGCATCAAGCATTTTTCAGCTATCATTAACCCTCCTCAAGCCTGCATTCTGGCTGTGGGTGGCTCAGAAAAGAGACTGCTGCCTGCAGACAACGAAAAAGGGTGAGCAAAGGAAATAGAGAGACGTTCATTTGCCATCAGCCCTACTTATAATCATGGCGCTTTTAAAACAGTTCCTCCAGTCAGTGCGTGTGTTTTCTGTGTGTCTCGTAGGTTTGATGTGGCAAGCATGATGTCTGTGACTCTGAGCTGTGATCACCGGGTGGTAGATGGTGCTGTTGGCGCACAGTGGCTGGCCGAGTTCCGCAAGTTCCTGGAGAAACCGTTCACCATGCTCCTGTGAGCAGGACGTTTAAAGGCTCCTGGCCCAAAAAAAAACAGTGGACTTTAAGATTTGGAGAGGTCTCTCTCATTGGTTATATGCTTGCCCTGGGAATTATAACAGGTGGTTCTCTCCCTCTTTTTTATTTTCCTTATCACTCACATACTCCCTTTCATATACTGTATTTTCAACATTGCTTCCTAAAGCCTGAAGTAACCTCTCAACCCAAAGTCGTAAGTCATTGTTAAGGTAATTTTCTGTAGTTTCAGAGGATAATGCTGGATAATGCAAGGGTTTTCATCTTCCTTCAGGATATTGTTACAAGCACCGTAAGTCTGTGCTTGCCATTAGATCAAAGAATAATGTCTGTGTCCATGGCCAAGTCTCATGGTCTGTACCTGCAAGCTTTGACTTGTTTCCATGTATCAATGACACATTTATAGGCACAATATGAGTATCCTTAATGTACAAGAAAAAGAAGAAAAGATCTGGAGATGTGTGTGCCAAATATTGTCTGACTACAATTGAAATTTATTTATGATACATTATTCAGTGCATAGGTTTATTTTCTGTATTGCTGCATAGTAGTCATACATTTGGTCTGTCACTCCCTGAGTTAAATATGTGGCGTATTCATGATGGTTGTTCCACTGAGACTGTGTGAGGATGCTTCACAGCGTCTTGGTATGTGGGCAGAGTTTTGATATAGGCAATTTTATTTGTTACATCTCTCACTCCAGACAAAGCACGTTAGTGCCTTTGCTCCTGTTTATAGCATTTTGGTATTTCTTTTTAAATGGTGGTTATATTTTCAAGTCATTCTTTAATGAATAACGCACAATTCATGGGGTGAACTGCTGTTATAAATAAACCTATGGAGAAACAAAAGAAAGGTTCCCAAATGGAACAAAACACTAGAATGGATATACATATTTGTATCTTGTAGGGAA